TTTAATTTCTTTATATAGAGCAACATCACAACATGCATTATCTCAAGACCCTGCCATATCTTGTGGTTCTTAAGTTTACAAAATCTGTAGATTTTACCCCGACATTATACAGGTGTGTCCGATGACACTGTGTGTGTGTGCGTGCATGCTTGCTTGCTTGAGAGATTTTACTAATTTAAGAAAGTATTATTCATGTGATAATATGTGTTGATATTGGGACGGTCATTTCAAACAAATCGTCATTTAAACTGTAGCGGTTCAGAAAAGTTGGCTGAATCGGTGTGTATGTCTGCGATTTTTGTGATCAAAGGGCACAGTGGCTTCACAGAGCATATTTGCCTTGTAGAGTGTTTCTCTGGAACACCATCTTGTCACATTTGGCTAAAACATCCACTTGGAGTCAAGGATCAACTGATTTGATTTTGTTAGCTCAAGGTCAAGGTGGTCTAACAAAATATGTAAATTCATTTCTTAAACTTGATATCTTCCGACAGTTGCAGGGGCGTTCACTGACGTCAGTCAGTGCCAATTATCTTCCTGAATAATCCTGAAGTACAAGATAATCTTAATGCTACCTGAGCCTCCCCAATCTTGAATCTTTAATACCAAACATGTTTGATATTTTCGATAGTCAGCTACGACAGAAACCCAAAATAGCTTGACTAAGAACAATACATTCCCATCTCAACTCGAGCTTGCACTGCAAAATGTATAAACCAATACCTCCTCCTCAGCCATGACTTCATCCTTAGTGTTTTTTCTTTTGTTTTTCGCTGTAAATCATAAAAAATGACATCGGTCCCCCTCCATGTTTATTTTTCTTCTGACATAACATTCAATCACGCCAGTGCGCCACACTCCAGTTCAGAAGAGAGCTGTAATGTATCCAAAAGTTTTTTGCCAATCACCATAAAAAACTGAATGAGAATTGTGTTTGAAAATCATCTTGTGTGTGTTTTCTGATGATTACAAGTTGAAAAATAGGTTAAATTTGTCATTCTGTCTGTGGTCTCCTACATTTTTTAAATTGAAATATGTACATAGAAATTGCACTGTGGTAATTCTAGTTTGCCTTGTGATTGCCGAATCTCCATACACCTTCAGGGAATCATTTCACATTTGGCACAAACATTCACTTGAATTCAATTGTGATGGTCAAAGGTCAAGGTCACGGTGACCTCACAGTCCTTTGAATTTCATATATTATGACTGCCCATAGGCAATTTCATTATCTCCCACAATTCATTTTGACTCATGGATGACCTCTCAAACACATCACCCTGGTGAATGTAACATCTCTGGAACATCTCAAGGGAATTCTTTCAAATTTGGCCAACATATTCACTTGGACTCACTAATTAACTGATTACATTTCAGTCGTCAAGGTCCCGCTGACCTCAAAAAACGTTTTTGGCCTCTTGAATGGGATATCTCAACCCCGACTTAATGTAATTTCTCCAACTTTTGATTAGTTGCCACTTGGACTCAAACATGAAGTGATTACATTTCAGTGGTTAAAGGTAAAGGTCACAGTGACCTTATATGAATCTGGGAAAGATTTGCACATGGAAACTGCACTGGTTGGCGTGGCATACAACTACAGTGCGGTAATTCTAGTTTCACTCCACAGTCACCCAAGTGCTTGCTCATTGTGGGAACTGTTGGGTTTCTTTATGTCATGTTAAGTTCCTTGAGATATTGTATGTTATAATTTGGCACTATATAAATAACATCTAATTGAATTTAATCTTCTCCTTCATTGAATCACTGAACTGCCACCTTGTGGTCTTTTAGTCTCTACACAAAATCTTTCAAAATCTTTTGTAATGTAACTATTTAGATGTTTTATAACTACCTGAATTACTGTATCAATGAACTAAACTAACTAACCAGCCTTGATGATACTCACATTTGTTGTTGCTGTATTTCTTATTTTCACCCTTATTTGTGCCTATATAAGGTTTTTGACAGAGAATGTAACCATAGATTTCAGATGCCCACGCACATCCCTCTGAGAGTGATTCATCTGAGCTGCCCACAGACTTGTGTCCAACCTGCCCAAGTACTTGCCAGCTAGAAGAGGACATGCAGGGGGGTCGTGTCCTGTATAAACTGGAGACAGCAGCTGATGTGCAGCAGAAAAGGAATCAGAACAGCAATCTGTCTGTCAGGCAGATCCAAGACTTCCTGGAACCACAGATGGAAGCAAACTTGGAGAACTTTCTCCTTCCTCCTAAAACCCTACTGCGATATGCTCTGCTCTTAGACATTGTTCAGCCCTCCTCCAGAAGGTCCGTCTGCTTTACCAAAGGGTGGGTACAATCTTCATCTAAATATCACCATCTTCACTTGCCATTATCAAGCCCAGGGAAGTTTCAACTGAAGCACCAGATGCAACCACCATTTCCCCTGTCAAGGGGGGGTGCATTCTTCTTCTATAAAGACACAAGGGAAAGGACATTGTAGCTTCCTGGCAAGAGGCATAATTAAATGCATGTCACACTTAAATGTGCAGGAAATATAAAGATCTTGATTAATTTTTTGGAAATCACCTATTTTCCATTGGTAATGTGATTTCAAATTAAAGGTCCACGAGCGTAGAGACCAATTCTTTCCAAGGAGAAAATCTAAATTCATCCACACAACATCTGTGCATGATGCTCTCTCATATTCTGTGCTTTCCTGCAGTCACACTTTAAACCCCAACAGATCATTTAATCTATGGCTCTGCTAGTTCCTAAACAATCAAATGTTTTAGTTATGGAGATTTATTTTAGCCAAGCTCTCGCACTTACCAAATACAACAGCCTGTTGCACTATGCCCCAGAGAGGACAAGAGACACTGTCAATTCCATAACAGTTATTAAAGATTATTACTATTAGGACGCAAGTATCAATGATGCTAGGTCTAGAACAGTCACTAGCACCAAAGATACAACACACCTATTATTTTTGTAAAGATGACCACTGATGGGGCGAGTGCCGGAATGCTCTCAAGCACCGAAGGCTATTGTTGTTTATTAAATATTAGTGCCCAAGCATTGTAATGATGACGATGATTATTAATATTATTGCCGTGGAAATTCATTTTTGAGTGCCGTAGGATGTTTGAAAACTCACTATATTTAGTAGAGGTCAGTCAAGTTTGGGTTTAATGTTTTCTTGAAATGTGGTGGGATCCTTTAAATTATCTTTTGGATAAGAAATTTGAGTTTCCTGCATCACTTTTCATTTTATGTACATATTTTTGAGGCTTTTACCATGCATGAAAACTCAGAAAACTGCACAACTATTTAAACTATTATTTCTTTGATACAATTGTCTATGGGCGGGACCCCCACTTACCTTTAGCATTGTTGAATGGTTAGGGCTACTTAAAGACTCAGGAAAGTTTTCCTCAAGAGTGGCACAACATAATATTGATGTTGAGCATAGGTTTGGCCAAATGAAGAGTAAGTATGTTCCACATTTAATAGGTGTCCTGGCCTGAAGTCATCTACATGACTATGTTTATTCATAGCTTCAGTCTCTGGCCACAGGAAGTATGCCTCATCTTACTATCATTATCTCATGTATATGACATTTTCAAGGTCTAACAGCAACAAAATGCATGTTAGATGCATGCTCTATAGCGTCACATAGACAAAGGAGTTGATGATAGGGATGAATAATAAAAATCAGTTTAAAGCCTGAAAGGTAGGTCTTCCTTGGTCATTGTTTTAATTGCTTCTAGCAGGTAGACCACATCCACCCAAAACTTGATCAGAAAACTTAAACACCTTGATAATGATTTGACATGAAAATTGTTAGTTTTTACATTTTGATGTTTCGCCATGCAATCCTATGGATTCTGGGTAAACTCTATGTCTAACTCTAAAATATAATCTATATGTGTCTCTCAAATGCTTGATAGTGTCTCACCACTGCAATATATCTATCCAGTTGGTTGATCCACTGTTAAAATGATGAAATAGTAATGCCGCTATTTGACTGAGTTAATGTGTTATATCCTTAGCTATGGACGGTATGTGGAAGGAACTGGCTCAGTACTGCAGAGCTGTATGGAAACAGAGGTATGTTTTGACATAAATACATGTATCAGCATAAGTTTTTTCTTAGATTTGTTCTCTGCATCCAAATCATGGCATGTTCTTAAACTCCACTATTGTTTGAAACTATGTTATTATATAGATTAACCCCATTTTCTTCATAAATTAAAA